GAACTCTTTCAACAGCAGCAGCATCTTTCTTATCGTAAGGGTCCCATGCTGTAGACGCATATTCAAGCGTTGCTCTTGCAAGACTTTTATAAGCAACTTCCTTGACATCTCTTGGACAATTCCATAGGTTCCGCTTGATAACATGTAATACGACATTTGCCTTCCGAGTGGTGTTAGATATATGAGATGACCATTTCATTTTATTATCAAACATCACCCCGAATCACTATAATCACTATAAAGATAGACTTTGTGTTAACATCACAATGAAATGCATTTAATTTCATATAATATTTTTTTGGATCAATTATAGTTGTTTTGTGTTTTAAATAATTGTTAATGTCTGGCTGGCATAATTATTTAAAATAGTACAATTATCATGTACAGTTAGTTCAATCTGTCTGTTCATGGTTGTTAGAAGCAGGACAAAATTACCCTACATATGATGTGTAGAAATGTAACAAGATAAAATATATTTCAGCTTGATAATTGTGGACCCATTATTAATTGAAACCAAGGCAAGAGCCAGATTGATTTGAGTGAAAAAGCCTTGGTCTGGTGTTTGGTTGTCAGATTGGCCGAGTATGCCAATCAGTGAAGCAACGCCACTGTCTGAAATCTAAAATTAGCTGGGTTCACTTACTATATTCACTATCAGGGACGTCGCTACCTGGGTGTGTGTGGGGGGGGGGGTGTAACCCCCCCCCGATAATTGAAACGTTGGTCAAAGTTGGTCAAAATGGAACTGGTATTTGCTCAAAGTTTGTCAAAATGGAACTGATATTTGCTTAAAATTTAAGGTCAAAGTTGGTAAATTGTGGTTAAATATTGGCAAGCCTTGCTTATTTTGGTCGAAAAATTTATAAATATGCTTATATTAGTCTGGAAAATTTTTTTACCCCCCTGTCAACAACATTTCCGGGTTTACGACTTGGTCAAAATTTTATTAAATATTGATCAAAACATGACGACACCCACCCCCAATGTTGATGCCTTAGCGATGCCCCTGTTTACTATACTATGTCTTGTTTCATGTGTGCACTAGTGTCCAGTACCTGCATGGTGTGAATTGCACTGTACAATCCAGCAGTTAAACAATAACATGGTAGATGATTATAATAATAATTTTTTAATTTTTTTTTAATCCAAATGAAGATGTTGAATTGTCAGGATTTCTATGCAAGAAACTAGGTGCTATTTTGCATGTCTGAGATGGAGACTAAGTTGCTGCATCCTAGAAAGTGTGAACAGCAAGGTTTACATTGTACAATTAGCAGCTTCAAGGCTACAACACATGGACAAGAAACTATTGTCAATGACAACATTGATCAAGCATGTCATAACCTGCCAGATAAAATAGTGACATAATTGAACATGGCCAGCATTCTGTTCTGCTGACACCTTCAATAAAAGTAGTGTAAACTGTTGTCTATGCTCACAATTTCCCTTTGACTTATTTTTAAATCACATCGCCTTTTATCAGAAATTGCATTGCAAGTTGCAGATTTACTAGAGGGGGGTGCACCCTTCAAGCCCTGACAGGAGAGGGTGAAGGGGGTGCTTTTTTCATGATAAAGCAAATAATAATAGAGACAAAATGAGATACAGTAATTTGAGCAATAACATGATGATAAGCAAACTGTGAACAACAATTCAAATTCAAATGTAGTATGTTGATGGGCGAGTGGCACACATGACCGACACAACTCTGCACCAGAGCTTCAGTGGCGCCGCCAGCTCAATAACTGGGGGGGGGGCGAATATTCATATCTTCGTGTTCTGCATTATTAACTTCTTTTGAAATTGATTGTTTTTATGCTCTGTGAACACAAATATATGAATATTCGCCCCCCCCCAATTATCGAGCTGGCGGCACCACTGCAGAGCTTGCAGAGCAGCCCCCTACCAGATCATGCTGGATCGGTCCCTGTATTATTTTATTTACACATGGAGGTGTATCTCTTTTGGTGGCGTAAAGGCATGTTTCTTGACACAAGTGACAATCCAAATTTTTAGATGGCTGTTTAAAATTTTAGGGCTAAATTGCAGAATACCCGTCCACTTTTGAGGGCATCCCTTGTTATCATGATACGATGATACGAAGTGAGAATGATTACGTAATAACTATATGGCCGCGCTATTATAAAAGCCTGGGTAACCTATATTATTGCGTGATACGATGATACGATGATACGAAGTGAAGTAGCACGTATACAGTATATGTGTTGGCCTCGTTCTTTGAAAGACATGTATATCTCTTTGTCCCGTTCTTTGAAAACCTTACCCGTGGGCCAAATATAATTAGGAGCGATTGCAGAATACCCGTCCACTTTTGAAGACCTCACCTGTTATCATGATACGATGATACGAAATGAAAATGATTACGTAATAACTATATATTTGCGCTATGCTGTATACGTGTTATTTCACTTCGTATCATCGTATCACGCATTAGTATAATTACATAGGTGATTATTGAAAATTCTCCACGCTGATTGGTTGCCATTGAGGTGATTATTACGCGATAATCACCTAAGCGATTTTCAAAATGGCGGCCGAAGCCTTTTTGTCAATTAAATGACGAAGAAATGTGTATTTTTTTATTTTTTCCATATAATCACCTATGAAATTATACTAAAACAATTATTCACCTCAGGCTCGGTGATTATCGTAAATAAAAACCTCGACTTCGTCTCGGTTTTTATTCACCGATAATCACCTCGCCTTCGGCGAATAATTGTTAAATAATATAGGTTACCCAGGCTTTTATAATAGCGCGGTCATATAGTTATTACGTAATCTTTCTCACTTCGTATCGTATCATGATAACAAGGGATGCCCTCAAAAGTGGACGGGTATTCTGCAATTTAGCCGGCGCATCATCATTAGCATAGATTGTGGTGGCGCATCATCATTAACATATACTGTAGTGACGTCACTCATTATCATACGTCATAATTATGTGCAATGACGTCACGCGGGCAAGCTTAAACACGATCAGGTGAAACTTGCTGACTACGCATTTCTTAGCGTCCTCCCTACGTGTATGATACAATAGACGGATTAATCTTGGCTTACTATGAATAGTTCGTGTCCCTCACATCGGAAAATTGTTTTGGAAATTAATATATACCAGAGTTATAGCCGTATCTTTGCTCGGAAGAGATAAATTTCCACAGGTATATTGAAGGATTTTTCGTGTGTTACATAGCGAGGAATCACAAAAATCAAGACATATTTTAAACTAAACAGTTGCCAATCCTGGGTTGTCAACGTCGTTGTTATGGTCAATATTTGCATGTTGTTCAACATTATTTAGCAAACCTCCTACATACATATATATTGTTAAGATGACCGAGTCAGATCACAAGAACGCTTATCAAGAATAGAAGTTAGAATTAGAACAGGTGTAATATTTTTTGACGCTATCGTCTGTTATTTGTATCAATAAACATGTTTTAAACTTTGCAAATTTGCGTTGTTATGCGTTGCGAAGTCATTATGTATAAATCTTTATTAAATATTAAAAGCAACACCTCACAACAAACGTGCGGGCTTACAATTTGCACTTACTTATCAATAATTATTATACTAATTTCTGAATTAGTATTGGGATTATGCATTAATAGAGCTAAAATATCATTATTATAATGTTTAATGAAGTTCCTAAGAAGTTAATTTCTAATTTAAAAAATATCATATGAAGTTAAAAAGACATCTATTAACGAACACTCTTTTAAACATTTCTGTTCGAACTCTCGGTAGTTCATACTCATGTCCGCGATTGCGTAATTCTAATTGACGACTAGGATCCGTAGTTATTTTCTCCCATATATCTCTGTCTTTCTTGTTTAATATATCAACAATCAACAATCGATACCTGATACATAAGATATCCATACTTATATGCACGTTTTAAAAGTTTATCTACTTGACTAAGATACTTAGAATACGACGCACATCCCCAGACCTCTATACCAATAACTATTGTTGATAAAATAAGACTATGGAACAGAAGATCCAGCTCTTTCCTAGAAAACCCGTAGTATTTGCAAATCCGAATAATGTACATTCTGCTACAGACTTTACTCATTAATTCATCTAAATGCATGTCCCACATGGAAGGATTCTCTTGAAATGTTACACCAAGTATCTTCAACCAACTTTTACGAACAATCATAGGCAGAAGCGCAGGAAGTGGCCGGGTTATCTTACCGCGAATGACCATCTCCCACGTCTTTTTGTAGTTAAGTTTCATGCGATTTGTTTCCGCCCAGTTGATAATATTGTTTGTTTCCATATAAGAGGCGTCACTATCATCTGTGACCTTAATCCCTAGATTTATGTCATCTGCAAATTTAACAATTAAGTTTGAGGCTTGAACAGGACGGATATCATTAATCATTATAGAAAACAGTATTGGACCTAATACTGTTCTTTGAGGAACTCCACGATTTATAGGCAAATATTCTGTTTTAACGCCATCAACAACGACTCGTTGATACCTATTGGTTAGGAAATTGATGATCCAATTGGTAATATAGGGACTAATAGGAAGCTTCTCTTCAGCTTATTGCATAAAATCTCGTGCGGTACAGTGTCAAAAATTTTACTGAAATCAAAAGAGAAGACGCGTACCATACTAGCATTACCATCCAACCATTCCATCCAGGTATGTTGCGCTTTTATTAGGGCCATTGTAGAGCTATAACCTCTTTTATATGCAAACTGATCTTTATGGATGGCGTTTTCCATCACCTGGACTAATTCAGTTGTATAGATTGCTCTTTCAAAAAGGCGAACAATTATATTGGTATTTGTACACTAATCAGGCGGGCGGGTTAGACAAATCGCTCGGGAGGAAAGAGCGGCCTGTGCTGGTAAATGTTTACACAAGATTTCAGTTTTAAAATACATTTATTTCTTCAAAACGTTTTACGAAATTGTACTTCTAATATATATCGTCACTTGTTCGAGACGTTTCACTATCCGATTCGTCATCATAACTGTTTTCATCATCGTCGCTGCTTTCATCATCCGTTATCCATTTGGTGAGTCTTGGGGCTTCCAGTTTTTGCTTCTTGACAGATGATAGATTACTGCATTGACTTCGCCTTCTCGTGCGTCCATGCCCAGTTTGACGCAGAAGAGTCCTTGCTCCTTGCTCAGCAAAGTCTTTAACAAGTTCACCTCCGTGAGTCTTTACAGATTCTCGGACATTTTTTCCTTGGAGTATATCCTGACCAACTTCTGTGGCTGCTTGCAATGCTCTTTTGCCAACAACTTTAGCACCTTGTTTGAATAGAGGGATAGCATATCTCGCAAGGCTCTTGAAAATACCTCCGATCCCATAACCCTTTGCATACGTACACCACGAAACCTAGCGATGTTTCCGCCACGTTGTTGTCTCAAGAAATGGTCTTTAAATAATTTTTCGTCCACAACAAGTTTACCCCTTGGCATATTGATGCGTTCGGTTCAACTTCACGCAGTCAACTGATCAAATATCACCTTATTCGTCTATTTTATGCTCAAAAAAATGTTTTTTATCAGTGCTAACTTCCATAATTTCATCACAATGACAATATGAACAACTGGCGATTACATGAGTGACATTTCCTTCGGACAGTCGAAAATCACAGATCATACAGTGACACCTTGTACAATTGGGATAAAAATCTGTCCATGCGCATACAGGGCATGTACCCAAATGGGAGATGTGTAAATCTTTGTTACAACTGTTACAAGTTGTGTCCACGTCTTCAGACTCATCTTCGGATTTATCAGACTGTGTATCCACATCATGTAGTGGCTGCTTGTGGGTTAGCATTGTAAGGACACTCCCACCTACGATGAGACTTTTATCAATTTCCAATTTTGCAAGACCTTTAAGAAATATGTTCAGTCCAGCCGGTTCCGGAATTTCAGTATAATATGGTAAAACAGTATATTGCAAAAGATCTACAATATTTGTTCCACGTATATTCTGTCCTTTGTATACAATTTCCCCTTGAAGATTCCATGTGAAAATATCCGTGGATGTGAGAATGCAGTAAAGAAGTTCTTCAGCATTGATTTTAACAACACTATCGTTTAAGTGTCCAAGTATATCTTCAACGCGCCAATGTCTTGGAGATGATCTTTCCTTGCTGTCCATGGTTGGAATGACGATGTGAATTAATGATGACTGTCTTATACTAATTCTGCAAGCCCTTCTAAAAGTGGCGCAAGTACCAATCCTAGAAAACCACTCCCGCGCTGAACAAGAATTTTCCTCTTCTTTCTAAAACTCCTACTTCTGTCCGCCAAGTCAGCGAGGTCATCTTTAAATGGTCCAAGTTTGTTGAATGTTCCTTTAGGATATGTAAAGTTTTCCAAGCAATTACATAGAAAGCGAATCTGTTCATGAGATGCTGAATCAACGAAGCTTGCTGTTGAATTGGATGAGAAATACACAAGAGCTCCACAAACGGTCTGTGTTTGATATAACTGCTAGTCATCTCTGTTCAGCGGTCAGCGACGGAATGAAGATCTAGTTGGAAATAACATATTTATACCGGTTGGCCCAAAAAAAAGTACTCCTGTTTGATTCGTAATAACTTCTAAACAAGTAAAGTTTTTAAAGAGAAATAACTTGCATTAAATAGAGGAAGGACTAACTTAGATTTTGATATGTTACAGTTGTATTTAAATGGGGAGCATATTTTGGAATGTGTCTAAAATTAGCGAAAATCAAATATTAACTCCAGCGTTTGTTTGCTTAATGACATATTAGGCTAACTTGTATTTCAGCGAATTATCGTTAAGGTTTGTAAGGGATATGGCGTAGATTTAGACATCTTACATGTAAGTCTTAGCTCATTGTTTCCTGAAATATGAACGTTCGAAATTATGCAAGTGTTTAATATTAGGTCTTTGCAAACTTAAATGTACATGAAAGACTGACCATGGAAGGCAGGCGCTTAAATTTTTCGTATTCTTAAATAGCCTAATTTTTTTATGTTTTTAATGGTTCAAACAGACTGAGTAGATTATTTCTCGGATCTGAGCAGGATGAATATTCTTTATTGAAGGAAATAATATTGCTTTTTGCAAATACACATCACCGTATCAACGCTACTATTTTGTTACGTTTTGTTCCAAAAATGTTGCATGTCTCTGGGGAGTTGCTTAATTGTTATGTCTTATGGAATTGTATGGTTTGATTGTGTTTCATATAATTCTCAGTTTACTCCATGAACTTGCCAAGATTAAGAAACGGCAAAAGAGTTTGGGTGTTCTTAACAAGATTTCAGAACGTTGCAGAAGTTAGAAGAGCTTCACAATTCCGTTGTGACAGCATGCCCTCATTCAGAACTACGAACGATCCAATGACGATCCTTCGCGATGCAGTGGTCTCATGAAATAAGGAAACGTATTCGTGCTAGGAACACACGCGAATTTCGGACGAATGAATCTTGCTTGTATTTTGTAGATATAATAATACTTTGTTTCATAATAAACAATTGTCAAGTGTCATTTATTTACTGGTAATAGTGCATGTTTCAGTCGGGCAAATCTTGATTAATATTTGATACGCCGATTTTTGCATATTTCAGACACATCCAGAAATATCCTCCCGAATTTAAAGATTAATATCTCCGTGAATTTTTAAGTGAAATACAACTGTAATATATCAAATTCTAAGTTAGTCCTTCCTCTATTTGATGCAAGTTATTTCTCTTTAAAAGCTATACTTGTTTAGATGTTATTACGAATCAAACAGGAGTACTTTTTTTTGGGCCACCCGGTATATTAACGAAAATAGTATCTTAGGATATCAATATCTCAGGATATCAGTATCTTAGGATATCAATATCTTAGGATATCAATATCTTAGGATATCAGTATCTTAGGATATCAATATCTTAGGATATCAATATCTTAGGATATCAATATCTTAGGATATCAATATCTTAGGATATCTATCATACAGTATCTTAGGATATCATACAGTATCTTAGGATATCAGTATCTTAGGATATCATACAATATCTTAGGATATCATACAGTATCTTAGGATATCATACAGTATCTTAGGATATCACAGTATCTTAGGATATCATACAGTATCTTAGGATATCATACAGCATCTTAGGATATCATAGGATTATCTATGTTGAGTATCTTAGGATATCATACAGCATCTTAGGATATCATAGGATTATCTATGTTGGTTTGACCATATAATACTATTTACGTAACGGTACACAAGTACCTTAGGATATCATACAGTATCTTAGGATATCATACAGCATCTTAGGATATCATAGGATTATCTATGTTGGTTTGACCATATAATACTATTTACGTAACGGTACACAAACCTCGAATTCATTTTACATTTGATTGTGAACCTGCAAACATGTTTTAAGTATCTTAGGATATCATACAGCATCTTAGGATATCATAGGATTATCTATGTTGGTTTGACCATATAATACTATTTACGTAACGGTACACAAACCTCGAATTCATTTTACATTTGATTGTGAACCTGCAAACATGTTTTATCCCTGCGAGGTCTGTGGAAGATCGTTTTCAACACCTGGTAACCGTTCACGTCACAAAAAACAGATGCATAGCACCAGTACAAATGAACGAAGGTTAACTGTAATCGGCAATAGGTCCAGTGTTATGCAGCATCCTTTCACGTGCATCGTAGCTGGGTGTACACAAAGTGGCAAAACCGTATGGGTGAAATCTCTTTTGGAGAATGCTCAAACGACTATAAGTCCTGCTCCTCAACGTATCATTTGGTGTTATGGTCAGTGGCAACCCTCCTATTTTGATATGATGAGAACGATGCCTGGAATCGAGTTTAATCAAGGTATCCCCGAAGACATCGACAACGCAGATTACTTGGACATATCTCAACGGAATTTGATCGTATTGGACGACCTTATGGCTCAATCTGGCAAAGATAAACGTATTTCTGATCTTTTTACGAAAGGAAGCCATCATCGAAACTTGTCCATCATCTATATTGTCCGAAATATATTTCATCAGGGCAAAGAAATGAGAAATATCAGCCTTAATGCTCATTATATCGTGTTGTTCAAGTCACCAAGAGATAAACAGCAAATTTCCATGCTTGCAAGGCAAATAAATCCCGGGAAAGTACAAGAGTTTATGAAGAGTTATGAAGATGCTACGAGCCGACCTCATGGGTATTTGATGTTGGATTTAAAGCCGACAACGAGTGACCAAGATCGACTCAAGACCAACATACTTCCAGGCGAGATTACAAAGTTTTTACACAAACAGTCGTATCGTCAACCACCACTTGTAAATGCAATGTATGATGCCGAACAGCGAATGAAAGAAATCATGGAAGCGCCACAACTTTCTGTGGTGGAAAAAAGC